AGACCAGTAGCTTGGGGGATGCTGTGGAACAGAGTAATAGTAATAAATAAAATCTGTCTATATTTCTTTCTACTTGCCTTGAGTAAAATTGAACATTCCTGTCCCATCTATGGTACCTGCAGCAAAGCTGTATCCCAAAGCTGGTTTGCATGTTTTACCCTTTGGAAAAAAGACAAAATAGCAATAGCAATAGCAGTTAGACTTATATACCGCTTCGTAGGGCTTTCAGCCCCCTCTAAGCCGTTTACAGAGTCAGCCTATCGCCCCCAACAACAATATCGCCCCCAATTTCACCCACCTCGGAAGGATGGAAGGCTGAGTCAACCTTGAGCCGGTGAGATTTGAACAGCCGAACTGCAGAACTGCAGTCAGCTGAAGTAGCCTGCAGTGCTGCATTTAACCACTGCGCCACCTCGGCTCTTAGCAGTGAGGTTTAATTTTTGTTTCTAATTTCTTATTGTTAGCATTTACTGACATGGACCCAGCTAAAATACCTACATTGTCGTGGCTCAGCATGACTCCTTTGGGCTTCCCTGTTGTTCCAGAGGTGTATATCAGGACACAACATTGGTTTGCCTCTTGGGAGTTGATGATGGCGTCAAGTCGTCCATCCGAAATTTCGTTTCCCAACTCCATGAATTCATCCATCTACGGAACAGAGAGGAAGGTCCCTAAGATACCCAGGTCTTCATCATAATATATCTGTTAATCTTCCTGCATTTATTTTCGCCAATCTTGGGTATCTTTCGTGCATTAAGGGCTTTTGCAATACACCAATATACAATTTTGATATGGCCATGCAATGCATATGCTCGCTCCAAAGTAAATCCATTGAATTTCCATTGTGGCTCTGAGTTGGGCTCAGGGAACCAAGCCCCTGTTTAGTTTATGTGGGATGCATGTAGTCTGTCAAATAAGTTGCTAAATTAATACCATTTGGAGGGAAAACAGCACTAGATTTTTGTAGTGGGAGGATTGTAAGTTCAATTATTGTCTCCCCACCTTCCTAATTTTGCATCCTGGACTACTAACTGGTCTTTTTGGTTTTACATTCTTTTAAAAATGTGGTCTTTGAGGGCATAAATGTCCTTCTTTTTACATCCAACGACAATTAAAAACAAACAAACATGGACATTGAGAAAATTAGAGATACAATGGGGAAGAACTAAAGGATTCTTGATAGGTCTCCAAAGGACTGCTCCTATCCTTGAACAAGTAAAATCTAAATCTAAGGATGTTTTACTGGTGTAATTGCTGGGACAAGAGAGCAGCTACAGAACATATAATTTCACACATTGACTTATGAACCATGTGAAGAAGGCTCCTGTGAATCTCCACCCATGGAGAGTTTTAGAACGGAAAGCTAAAACATCTACAGAATTGGAAATCTGACGCTGACGCATGAGCTGGCCAAGAAACAGCACCCAGGCAACCGGGATCACATCCATTAACACTTCAAAGAAGGACGGTGTCAGTTTGGTCAGGATGACGAAGTGTGAAGTGTCAACAAGTCTGGGGAGAAATCCTTTCGCCATTACTACCATACGGTCCTTCCAGTAAACGCAAAGGGCATGGAAGGACACCCTTACATGTTGGGAACAGAGACCGTCATTTCCTAGCCAATAAACTGTGCTTGAGGTTTAAGCATCTTCACGTTTCGTAATTCATAAGAGCACCTCTTGATGTCTTTTAGCAAGCTAAAGTCTGTGGGATTAGTTAGCTTGGTGACTTAGTTTTACTACTGTTGCTAAATTGGTCTCAAGTTTTCGCTGATTAATCTGAGATGACACCTTTATTAAGTCTGTAGTTTTGTTCACAGGTGTGGGGAAGTATTATTTTAAAGGCTGAGGATGCACAGTATATAGCACAGGTATCCAACCTTGGCAAGTTTGTAGACTTCAGCTCCCAGAGTTCCCCAGCCAGAATGGCTGTCTGGGGAATCTTGGAAGATGAATTCTGGGAGTTGAAGTCCACAGGTCTTAAAGTTGTCTTGGTAGCAATAGCAGTTAGCAGTTAGACTTATATACCGCTTCATAGGGCTTTCAGCCCTCTCTAAGCGGTTTACAGAGTCAGCATATCGCCCCCAACA